GAACGTTGTGTAGCTTTAAAAATAGGTTGGATAAATACACGAGTAGATGTGGGTGGGTGTGAGTTAGACCTGATTGCTTGTGCTAACAGGTCGGTTGCCGTGTTCCTCCCTTAAGTCAATGTGACCTGACCTGACTAGGTTGGGTGCATTGGCTTAAGCCGGTAGGAGACTTGGACCTGCCTCGCATGGGCCAGTAGGCCTTCTGCAGTGTTCCTTCGTTCTTATGTTCTTATGTTAACCCAACTTAACCTAGCCTAACCTAACCTATCCTAACCTAACCAAACACCATCAAACACCTCTGAATACTCCCCAAAACACTACTGATTACTACCAAATCACCACTGAATACTACCAAATCACCGTCAAAATCACCAGAAACTAAGTTTAACATCACCATCCAACTTCCTTTTATAGAAATCCCCTCAAATCACTATAACCAAGAACCCAACCTAACCTAACCTTTCCTAGCCTAACCGAACCTAACATTACCCAACCTAACCTAGCCCAACCTAACCTAACTTATCCTAACCTAACCCGACCTAACTTATACTAACCTAACCTAACCCGACCTAACTTATCCTAACCTAACTTATCCTAACCTAACTTATCCTAACCGAACCTAACCTAACCTTACCTAACCTAACCTAACCGAGCCTAACCGTACCTATCCTAACCTAACCTAACCTAACACCATCAAGCACCTCCGAATACTCCTATAACACTACTGTTTACTACCAAATCACCGTCAAATCACCAGAAACTAAGTTTATCATCACCATCCATCATCCTTTTTATAGAATGAATATTCTTACCGCATTTTATGTTGTACATCACATTTCCTCTTCCACATCATCCCTAAACATCCTTCCTTATTCAATCCGTATATCTCCTAGAGTTGTTTTAACCCCCGACGGGACCATCATGACATTAGGAGCCAGAGCAACCATCACCACTCCAACACCACCTACTATGGCTCCTGCGTCGTGATGGGCCCTCGTCGGGGGTTAAAACAACTCTAGGAGATATACGGAATGAATAAGGAAGGATGTTTAGGGATGATGTGGAAGAGGAAATGCGATATGCAGCATATAATGTGGTAAGTATATTCATTCTATAAAAAGGATGATGGATGGTGATGTTAAACTTAGTTTCTGGTGATTTTGACGGTGATTTGGTAGTAATCAGTAGTGTTTTGGGAGTATTCGGAGGTGTTTGATGGTGTTAGGTTAGGTTAGGATAGGTACGGTTAGGCTCGGTTAGGTTAGGTTCGGTTAGGTTAGGTTCGGTTGGGTTAGGTTAGGAAAGGTTAGGTTAGGTTGGGTTCTCGGATATAGTGATTTGAGGGGATTTCTATTAAAAGGTAGTTGGATGGTGATGTTAAACTTAGTTTCTGGTGATTTTGCGGTGATTTTTGGTAGTATTCAGTGGTGATTTGGTAGTAATCAGTAGTGTTTTGGGGAGTATTCGGAGGTGTTTGATGGTGTTTGGTTAGGTTAGGATAGGTTAGGTTAGGTGAGGTTGGGTTGGGTTGGGTTGGGTTAGGTGTGTGTGTGTGTGTGTGTGTGTGTGTGTGTTAGGTGGTCATAGAGTTTTGTGAATATCTTGATTATAGTGATTTTAGTGGAATTGAGATGCATTTGTGGATGTGGAAATGTGATTTTTTGTTCTGAAGAGGTGTGTTGGGAGATGGGTGAGTGGATGTGAAGAAATGCGGGTGAGATGGCGAGGTGTATGGGGAGGGTTGTAATTAGAAATATGGGGAGATTTTACTGAATATAAAGGTAATGTGTGAATATTTTAAAAAATTATTGAAATGAAAAGTTATGATATTGGAAAAAGAATGGAGGGTGTTGAAACATGTCGCAATAGTTGGGTAGTTGATGCGAGTATAATATTAATTTATGTGGATACCATGGGGATGGGTATGGAGAGGATTTTATTAGAAATTTAGTACTGTAGGGAGGAAATGTGTATTACTTTTAAGATTCAGTAAAAAGAAGGGGGGAAAAAAGTGAATAAATTGGTAATTGATGAGGGTTGTGGGTAATGTAGTCGAATTAGAGATACCGAAAAAGATGATATAAGTGGGTTGTTTTTGTGACTTTTTCTGATGTACTGTGTCCCCTTATTAACTTTAATGAACTAAAAGGGTTAAAACGAGAAAAAAAAATTGTGGGATGTGGGTGATGTGGGGTGTTGTGACTTTTCTGATGAAATTAGTTGAAACGAGAAAAAAAATGTGGGGTGTTATGGGTTGTGGGTGTAGTGGGTTGTTGTTGCTGTGACTTTCTGATGTACTGTGCCCCCCTTATTAATTTTAATGAACTAAAAGGGTTAAAACGAGAAAAAATTGTGGGTTGTGGGTGCTGTGGGGTGTGTGCGCGCGTGTTAGGTGTCAGTTTTTTTGTGAAAATCGTGGTTAGTGATATTAGTTAAAACGAGTAAAATTTGTTGGTAATTGATGAGGGTAGTGTAGTCGAATTAGTTACCGAAAAAAAAGATGATATAAGTGGGTTGTGATGAAATTAGTTTAAAAACGATATTCAAAGGTGTTTTGAAGGTGTTAAAGGGTGTTTGTGTATTCAAATGATTGAGTGTTTTGGGGATGTTCAAAGTAAAGTGTTTGAGTTAGTTTTTGTGACTTTTTTCTGATGTATTGTCCCCTTAATAACTTTAATGAACTAAAGGGTAAAAACGAGAAAATGCCTAGTCTGGAGACTGAGGGATGAGTTGTAATTTAATGAAATGTGTAAGTGCAGATAAATTAGAGATGTCAAATCTTATTTGGGAGTACTCAAAGTGTTTTTGGAAATGTACAAAGGTGTTTTGAGTGTTCAAATGTTTTTTGAAGGTGATCAAGGGTGTTTTGAAGGTGTTCAAGGGTGTTTTGAAAGTGTTCAAAGGTGTTTTGAGGTTATTCAAAGGTGTTTTTTGAGGGTGTTCAAGAGTGCTTTGAAGGTGTTCAAAGGTGTTTATGTGAGTATTCAAATGATTTATGAGTGTTTTGGTGATGTACAAAAAAAGTGTTTGAGTTAGTTTTTGTGACTTTTTCTGATGTACTGTCCCCTTATTAACTTTAATGAACTAAAAGGGTTAAAACGAGAAAAATTTGAGTTAGTTTTTTGTGATAATGTTATGTTGTATTTTGTAAAGAAATTGTGGGTATTAACGAAAAAAAAATGCGACTTTCTGATTATGAAAAATTTGGGTTAAGAGTGAAAATGTTTCCCTATGTTGTATATGTGTGGGGGTAAAGTTCGACATGATTCAGCCTGTGCGCGTGACGTCACTACTATGTCCCTTATTAACTTTAATGAACTAAAAGGGTCGACTAGATTCAACCTGTGTGCGCGTGACGTCACTGACCGCCGAGTAAACACACTTCTTAGGTCATTTGACTTGTTTAGACCTGTAGTAAGCATGCCTCCATAGGAAGAGTTCATTTGAATACTTACCCCATAGGGGGGGGATTCCAAAAACTTGATCTGAGGAGTTGGAGAATTGGGGGATGGGGGTGGGGGGTGGAAGGAGGGGCAATCCAAAAAACCTTGATTCGAGGAGATGGAGACTTTGATTTCGAGAAATTTTGGGATGGGGTGAAAGTGAGAGGGGGAACCTCAAAAATTTGATCCGAGGAGATGGGGGAGCACAAGAAAATGGAATTCATATATATATATTATATATATAATATAATATATATATATATATATATATATATATATATATTAAAAAATATATATATATTAAAAAAATATATATATTATATATATATATATATTTATTTTATTATCACACTGGCCGATTCCCACCAAGGCAAGGTGGCCCGAAAAAGAAAAACTTTCACCATCATTCACTCCATCACTGTCTTGCCAGAAGGGTGCTTTATACTACAGTTTTTAAACTGCAACATTTACACCCCTCCTTCATATATAATATATATATATATATACACACGGAACAACCACGGGGGGAGCAGAATGATAGCTCTAGGCCCCTTGTGTTGCAATCAATACATCAGGAGCTTGCAAAAATTGCAGAACGGTGTTCAGCAAATAAAGTTCACAGAGGACCGTTTTTACTCAGTACTCTTTATAAAGGCGTAGAATTAGGGTTGATATGATTGAGGTGTATAAATGGAAAACAGGAATAAATAAATGGGATGTAAATTGCGTGCTGAAAATTTTCAGCCAAGACAGGACTCACAGCAATGGTTTCAAGTTGGAAAAATTCAGATTCAGGAAGGATATAGGAAAACACTGGTTTGGTAATAGGATTGTGGATGAGTGGAACAGACTCCCGAGTACCGTCATAGAAGCTAAAACGTTGTGTATTTTTAAAAATAAGTTAGATAAATACATGAGTGGGTATGGGTGGGTGAGAGTTTGACCTGACTAGCATGTGCTACTGGGTCTGATGCCGTGCTCCTTCCTTAAGTGGAAGTAACCTGACTAGGTGGGTCATTGGTCTTTGCCAGGGGTTGACATGGACCTGCTTCGCATGGGTCAGTAGGCCTGCTGCAGTGTTCCTTCTTTCTTATGTTCTTAAGACTCAAGTTCAACTAACCAGCTTTGCCTGAATCTATTCATAAATGTTACCTTGCTCACACTCCAACAGTACATCAAATCACATAAACTACTTGCCTCCACTCCTAACTAACAAGCTCGAACATGCTTGCTGGATGTCAAAGACCCTCGCTCACAAATCCTCCTTATGCACTCCTTCCATTATAGCATTTTCTCTTGTTTCAAGTTATGTGGCATCAGTTGCTGAAAAAACACAAAGGTACAGTGACAATGACGGTCTTCCTCAGGTAACATGTAAATATCGTGGGTTCCAATCCGCATCAAGCCGAGATAAAATGTTTTACGGCTATCGTGCCCCTTTGTATTCAACTTATATATAACACACAAAATACTAAATGGGCACAGAAAGTTTGGTTCTACCTCTATAATTATAAAGTTGCATTCCGATACTGTTATCACCACAGCTCCCCTTTCCAGGCCCCACGTACAGCAGCTGAGGAGGGAAAAGTGCAGCATGTTCGTGCATGGCTCAATGCTGGTGGTGACATCAACGCTCCTACCATAGTCTCTGATGCTGCTGGACCTGGTGTGACTCTTCTTTCCACTGCTTGTAGCCATAATCAAGTCAAGGTTGTGGAAGAATTGCTGAAGAATCCCGTGATACATCTCAATACCTGCCACATTACAGAGCATGGTACCAACTGTACCCCGCTCTGGATAGCAGCCTTTTATGGTTATGATGACTGTGTCAGTTCCCTCCTTTATTCAAAACTCAAGGTATGTTCATTTTCTTAGGGAAGTTAGGAAAATTAAATTTTGTTATACTAAATAAGTTTCATTAAGGTTAGGGTGCATGATCAATTTAAATACAAAATTAAACTTCGCAATTTGATAGTTTGCATACCTTCAGCAAACTATTACTCTGTTTATCACCCAAGTAAGAGTTCCTACCTTGCCTTCGTGAAGATTTACTACTACCTCACTACTGTAACTCCCATTATTGAGACTTGCATTACAACATATACCCGTCGCCTCATCTTGCCTAGATGACCGTACCTATATAACATTGTTCACCCTCCGTAGTGCCCTATCTCTCTCAACTCCGTTGTTTACCTCGCATCCATTTCAGAAAGATCGTCCTTCGCTTTTATCCTTTGAATTTTAGCATCTTGGATGACAGTTCAACTTTAAAATATATGCATGATACTATGTAGATTTAAATAGACAACGAAAATTATTTATAGTTATGTAGATATAAAAAAATAAAAGAAACACCATACTGCCTTCATACATCAGCTTACAAGAGATTAGATATCATCAACCTTCCAGTATCCTGGCTGGAGCATCCAGCCAGAATACTGGTGAAATATATAAATATAAAGCAAATAAATAACTTTAATTCTATAAAGTGAATATAGTTAACATTTAACACTGGAGTACTTGATATGTTAACATTATGGAAAGCCTCTTGTTATGCAGAGCTGTCGAGCAGCCTTAAAAATAACTTATAATTGCTCTGCAGTGATAGAAATATAGCGGCATATTAAAATGCTATGGTTTGCCATATTTGGTTTTTAAATACTGTAACAGTTTGGTGTATAAATTATGATATTTTGAAATCTTCTGTAACAATTTGGTACAACATTTGCATCGGGGAATACTAAGGTAGAAGATATATTTCGTTGAAACTGATAGATGATTTGGATCGAGAGAGTTACTTTTGATACATTATACTTTAACGTAATATGTCTAAGCAGGGTTTAAGTCTGATTAAAGAGGAACTTTTGACTGTATTTTCGAAGCAAGTAGCTAAAGGGAAACTATTTGCATGGAATTCCTGTGCTGCTATATCAAAGATTCGTATGTTTTTTTTATTACGTCTACGTGTCTGTTGCAGCTCTCCAAGAAGAGTTGGGGAGCTGGGAATAAGTTCTATTCTAAGTAAGTTGAAACTGTTGAATAGTGGGCGTGTGTTGTCTGGAACCTGACTGGGTCATTATTATAACAGCTAATTTCTAAATAACAAAAAAGGCACAATACCGTGACTGGAACGATACACAAATAACCCGCACAAACGACGACGTTTCGGTCCGACTTGGACCATTGACAAAGTCACACTAACCAGAGGAACGAACGAACGAACGTAAGTTCAGGTAAGATCCCAAATGGGATGAGCGGGGAAGACGGGACAGACGAAGAACAGTGCTGGAGAGGAGTGTTCTTAGTCGTAGAAATAGAGCTAGGGCTTAACCCAGCAGCGAGGCGATCGTGGGACAGATATTGAGAAGAGAAATTCAGGCTCTTCTGTTGGGACTCCGGTGGGGTGAGCGGGAAGGAAGGGACATGCGACGTTTAGAGCTAGAGAGGAGTGTAGAACTGAGCCATGTCTTAACCCAAAGGGTAAGGCGAACGTGGATCAGAGAATGGTACCTGTCATAGAAGGTACCTCTCGGAGAATCCAAGGTTATTTGTAAATAGGGTTAGGAGCAGGATCATGCAAGGAGTAGAAAAAGTTGTGTTGGTTTGTGGGTCTGCGAATGTCTTCGTCAAGGAGAGAGGTCCAGTAGTCATGTCGTGTCTCAAGTTTGTCTATCTGTCTGTCACTGAGCGTCTTCCAGTACAGATTCAGCGCAGGGATGTCTAACTGGGCATGTAGAGACTCGCATGTGGCGAAGTCCTCCCATCTGACATCAAGTACCCAGCACAGCGCCTTGTTCTGGACACGCTGCAGTTTAAGCAAGTTTGTTTTTGCTGCAAGAGAGAGGGCTAGAGGAGAGTAAGTTATCAGAGGACGTATAAGGGATTTGTAGAGGTGTAGTTTGGTTCGTTGAGAGGCATGTTTCAGCTTGTAGAGGCCCGCAAGGGCCTTACTAGCTATTGCATGCCTTGAGTGAATGTGTCCGTGTAAGCGTAGAAGGTAGTCAAGATTAACGCCAAGGACAGTGACATTGTGTCATGGGGATGTAAGTGCGGGTGTCAGCTGTTCTGAGCTCGACAGGTAATGGAGGATCACGTTTTCTGTAGTTAAAATATGTAATGCTGGATTTAGCTGCATTGGTTTTGATCCTCCATTTTTGTTCCCAGATGGCTATCCTGTCGACCTCATTTTGTGTTTTGTGTATGAGTGTATCTATATTGGCATGAGTGATAAGTTGTGTAATGTCGTCTGCATAGGCTAGTGTGATGGAGTTTTGGTATACAGGTGTTGGAATGTCGTTAGTGTATAAAATGTAGAGGGTAGGGGAGAGGATAGATCCCTGGGGTACTCCAGCATTTAGTGTGAAGTAGTCAGAGTAACAGCCTTGGAATTTGATTCTCATGGTACGGCCGTCTAGGAAGTTGCAGAGGAGTTTACGAGTAGTGAGAGGCAGGTTAAAGTTAGTGCAGAGTTTGTACTTGAGCCCTTGGTGCCAGACAGTGTCAAAAGCTTTTTCAACGTCTTTTGCAACCAGGGCTGTCCTGTTTCTTTGTTCTGTGTTTGTGGATGTAGTTGAGAATGATGTTAATGGCATCTTGTGTGGATCTGTGTGTTCTGAAGCCAAACTGACCATCAGAAAGTAGAGTTGTTTCAGGTATCTGCGAAGGCGATGGTTGATGAGTTTTTCAAAGAGTTTACCTAAAGTTTCGAGGAGGCTGATAGGGCGATAGTTTCTAGGATCAGAGTGGTCTTTTTTGGGTTTAGGAAGGATAGCAGTAGCAGCTTTGAAGAGGGAAGGGAAGTATCCAGAGGCAAGGGAGGCATTGAGGAGGTTTGTGTAGACAGTAATGATAGTCAGGAAGGTGTTTTAGGATAATATGGTTTGGGCCAGAGGCGCCAGGAGCCTTGGGAGGAAGGTGTCTGAGGAGAGTTTTAATGTCTGTGTTGGTGAAAGGAGTGTCGAGTTCTTGGGAGGAGGTAAGAGTCTAGATGAATGTGGCTATCTGGTGTTGTATCTTGTGTGTGTGCAGTGTTCCAATGTTCTATGTTCTGAATGTGTTGAATAATGTTAGGGTGAAGTCGGTGAGGGTGGAAGATGTTCTCCCAGATGTGTTTGAAGATGTTGGTAGCAGCCTGCGGGTCTGAAATGTGTGTTGTTGTGGGTGATGTGTTTGAATTTGTTGGTGGGAGTAGTGCCTCTTATTTTTTTGATAAAGTTCCAGAAGGCTTTAGTGTTTTTAATATGCTGTTTGTCAGCTTGTATGAGTTGTGACCAGTGATTGTTGTGGTCTTGGTCTAGACTGTGTAGAATGTTGTTTCTAAGGTAAGTGAAATCTAATCGAACTTGATTAAATCTGTGTGTTGTAGAGGAAGCGGTTGTGGTAGCAGATAATTAGTCTTCTTGTTCTGAGTGACGGTTTGAAGGAATAACGAGTGGTGTGAGTTTTCTTTGGTATTGCGTTGTTGGCTGCTTGTGTAATGGTGTCCTGGATGAGATCAAGTTGAGTATCGATGTCAGATAGGTTTGTTATAGTCATAGGTGAGGTTAATATTGTCTGTTTGAAAGCATCCCAGTCAGCGTTCTTGTAGGAGAAGGTGTGGTTGGAATGAGGATAGGGTTGGAGATGTGCAAGATGACTGGGATGTGATCAGAGCCTGTAATAGGGCCAGGTGAGATGTAGTGTTGAAATAGAGAACTGGCTCGGTTTGCCAGAATGATGTCTGGTTTGCCTTGGCCCGTGTGATTAAAGAAGGTATTGAAGTCTGGGCCGAGATGAATTAGGTGTTTATGGTTAGTGAAGTTGAGTAATTGGTGACCAAATTGGTTGTTACTGGTGTGATGAAAGGCGGTGTGTTTGGCATTCATGTAAGCTAGTAGGTATGTTGGTGTGTTGGTGTAGTTGAAGACTAAGGAAAGGTCGTGTATGTTGAGAATAGTGTTTGGGCGAGCATAGGTGGTGAAAAAGATAAAGGGGCCAAGGTGGGTGTGTATTCTGACTGCAAGACAGTGTTGGTGAATAAAAGGGATTGGGAGAGATTCATGTTTTATGTTGGATTTGACAAGGATGGCAACCCCATCGTGGGGATCATAGGGGGACTGTAGTGCAGTATAACCATAATGGCGGATACGTTGATGGGCTTTGAGGCAGGTACTGTTTAGCAAAACAATATCTGGTCTCTCTGCTTCAAGGAGCTCGGCCAGTAGGTGTCTAATAGTAAAGTAAGAACGTACGTTGAACTGAATCACTTTAAACATGATTTAATGGTTTCGTCATAGCAAAGTTAATGTCGGAGGAGTTTGGATTAAAACCTGTGATAGTGGTGCCATCAGTGGATGCGAGTTTGTAGGTGTTACGGACCCGTTTCCTGGAGGGGGAGGAAGAGATGGATCTGTTTTTATGTTCTTTTGTATGTCTGTCAGAAGTTGGGGCAGGTTTAGGTTTGAGTGGATTTTGTCTGGAGGAGGAGTTGGACCTGGATGAAGTTTTGGTTGTGGTGGAGGAGTGGGCGAAGGTAGATGCAGAGGAAGTGGAAGCTTTGGTAGGGGATGAGGAAGTGGAAGCTATGGTACTGGGTAAGGAAGCCGAAGCTTTGGTTGGGGATGAGGAAGTGGGTAAGGAGGTCGGGGGAGGGGTGGTCGTAGCAGCAGCAGCAGCAGTAGGGGTGTTGGTGGGAGGGGTGGAAGTAGTGAAGAGGGGTAGGGGGGAGGAGAGCTGGTGGATGTAGGAAGTGGGGGGGGTGGGAGAGAGGGAGGAGGTAGAGGTTGTAGGGGGCTTAGAAGAGAAGCAGGAAGGAGGGATAATTAAAGAGGGAAGATTGTTAGCAGACAAGATTAGGTTAAGGACATGTGAGTAGTCTG